TCTATAATGAAGAAATCTAACCAAGTGTCGGCCTTGTGGGTGTGGTGAGTAGGATAAAAAGGAACAATAAAGAGATGGAGGGAAAAAAATAGGTTTTCTAGATAGGTTTTGTCTTTGGAATTAGAAAGGAAATTGGTATTGAGGTCACCGGCGATGATTATTCTAGGATAGAGGGGAACAAAGTTGAGTAGGGTTGATTCTAAGGACGGATCAAATGGAACAAGGGGAGGACGGTAGATCACTATGTAAAGGAGAGGTGAATTATTACAGGTAATTTCTACTAGAAGGTACTCCACTTGTGGATGTTCGGAGGGTGGGGAGTAATCAAGGATTCGGGACTTCAGGCTATCATGGACAAATATGGCCACCCCACCACCAGTCCGGCTGACCCGGTCGTGGCGGATGAGGGTGTAATTAGGTAAGGAGACAGATGAGGACGGAATATAGGGTTTGAGCCAGGTTTCTGAGATTGCGATGATGTGAAAAAAGTTTTGAGAAAAGTACTGCAGGAATTCATCATAATGGGCGGGAAGGGATTGCGAGTTAACGTGGCAGGTGGTTAGGATGCTAGACATGGGGAGGATTTGATGGGAAACAGTCAGAAATTAGCATAGAGGAAATGAGGCATATATCATATTCTGAAAAAAAATTATGAAAAGTACTGATAAGCAAAATAAAAGTGAATAATGAAAAAATAAGAGAGAAATAAGAGTAAGAAAATAAACAAATTAGTAAACTGGAGCTGTGAGAAATTTTAACCAAAATCTTCAATGTTATTTGGGCACCAATGAAGACAAAAAATACTTTGAAGAACGAGAAGAAGAGATGAAACCTGTGCAGTCAGGCGAAAACTTCCAGATCCGATGCCTGATTAATCAAGATTACTTGATGGCCGTCTTCTTTTCGGCAACGCACAATGCCGGCAGAGAACCATACGTATCTTATCTTCCCGGCAGCTCTCTTCTGCCGGGCTAGCCAGTAGAGGTGCCTGTTTGTTGGGGTCATCTCCTCGCCGAGATAAATTCGGTGGCAGTCGTTTTCCTGCCACCCGATATCACGCGTCGAGAAATCCCTCTTCACTTTCCTTTTCGCTATCAGGTCGTCCCTCACTGACTGCCTGACGAAATGTGCTATTACCGGCGGCGGTCGCGGGTCATCCTTCTTGCTTCTGCGGCGCTGCACGACATCCACATCCTCCACTCCGAGCTTGATGCCCAGCCCCGCGGCTATACTGGTCACCAGAGCCGCGGGCGTCTCGCCTGCTCGCACTGGGATCCCACGGATCTCCAGCGATCTAGATAATTGACCCTGTTCTGTTTTGTTCAGGCGGATCTCTAAATCGCCTACTCGAGCTTTGAGGGCTTTATTTTCCAAAATGATCTCCTCAAAATGTTTGGCTTGGCCCTCGAGATGTTTTTCTAATTTAGATAACCTCTCATTCAGTTCAAAGCTGAGGTCTCCATATTTATCGAGGGCTGTCTTCATATCCCTTATTTCCTCACTAACATGACTATCCAGTCTATTAACTGCTGCTAATATTTCTGATACAGGCGGTTCATTGTTTAAATTTAGTTTCTTAGTTTGATCGCAATTTAGGCACATCCATGTTTTTTTTGTGCTTCTTTGAGCTTCTATCTCTTTGTCTGTGAGATTAAAACACTTGCCGTGATAAATAACTTTGCACTTGGTACAACATAAATTGTATTTATCTTCACGGGCAATAGCGTTATTACAAATCGTGCACTGGACCATTTTTAATAATAAAAAATAACTTACAGTTAATGTCAAGTGAAGTTAATGTTGTGATCCGCCAAGCAAACAACTGCTAATACTAATAGGATTATTAGCTTAACACTCACAAGGCTCGTAGCACTCTCACTATATTTTCTTTACGTTGAGTAGCGTGAAAATACGTAAATTTAAGAAGTTTTAAAGATTACGTTCGATAGTATGATACTGTTAAGAAAAGAAACAACGAAAGAAAAAACCAAAATTGGGCTCAATATATGAAATTGAAAGAAAGCGCTCCGTAGATGTTTACTCACTGCCGTCTCTGGCCAGACTGACTGTTACATGTGGAAGCGTGTTCTAATCTTTCGGACGAGATCAGGTGCACTCGTATTCCTTTGATTCTTCAATTACAACTATTCTCCGTTACGATCTCTTATTTCTCCTTTAGTAAATTATCAAATTCTTTCATATTTTTTATTTAACTATCTTTTATAGTATAGATTAATGTGAAATGGTTAACTGTTTCAAATTAAAAAAAAATTAAAGGTAGTTTAGGAGAAGCTAATGTTGAAAATTAGCCATTTAAGTCCTGTTAGAGAACATCAATCATAATAAAAGCTGCTCAATTTTACACTGATATGATGAATTTAATGAAAATCGTTTGAGCCGATTTCGAGAAAATCGTAAAAATGTGTTTAGTCCATGATATAAAGTGCTACTTTCGGTTAGCCGATTTTGATGAAAAAGTTATTGTAACATCACAAGCCTATATAAAATTTTTATGATAATATAAAAACCTTAAATGTGCAATTTCACTTTCGTACGACTTTTCGTTTTTGAGCTAGACTGTCAACACACACACACAAACACAAACAGACCATTTTTCAGGACTCTGTTATTTGGACTCAGGGGACCTCAAAACGTGTATTTCCTTTGAAATCTGAGATTCGAAAATTTTCACGATCGCAATACTTTCCTTTACTCTATATTTCATATATAGGTAAGTGAAAGTGAAATATTTCGGTATCGGTTCCATGACTTCTCTATCTCATTTTCAGGGTAAATATGTAATCATTTGTTTGCCTGTCAGACCTAAAAGCACTTTGCTCTTCCAGGAGGTCAGGTTCCACCTCTGGTTTTAATCAGTTCTCTAGGATGGAGGTATATAGTTTATAGACGACTGGAGACAGGCAGATAGGTCTGGAATTAGAGCAATCACTTTGGCTTCCTTTGTTGTGTATGATTATTATAACGTTGAATTCCCATTCTTTAGGGATTCTTTCATTGTCCCAAACTCTTTGGAAGAAGGGTTGAAGAGCTCCTACCAATTCTGGCCCACCATATTTAATAAATTCTGGGACTATTTCATCTCAGCCTGCTGCTTTTCCTGTCTTCATCTTCGCAATAGCCTTCTCAACTTCCTCTTCTTCTATCAGATAGTTTCCTTGGTCCTCCAGAAAGATTCTTCTTTCAACAAGAACATCCCTTTCTTTCTAATTGCCTTTAAACTGTCTTGAGTAATATCTACGTCATACCTCCAGCACATATTTTTCCTCTGACACTAATTCTCCCCTCTCATTCTTTATATTCCTAACTGGTTTTGCCTTTCTGCCTCTCAGAACCTTAATTTTTCGCCAGAAGAGCTTGATATTCTCTCTATGTTAAACATCAAGGGAGCGACAAAACTCTTCCAATTCTTTCCTCTTTGCTTCTCTTACACTAACTTTTACCCTGTTCCTAGCAACTTTGTAGAGTTCATATTTGTCTCGACTTCTTTCCATACAGAACATTTTCCACAAGATTTTCTTTTCCTTTACAACAGCTCTAAGTTCTTCACTCCACCAGTCCGAACGTTTCCTTTTGACTGACACTTTCTTCACACTGCATGCTTTAGTCGCTGATTCCAATACGGCCGCTTTCAGCTTTAACCATATTTCATCTAAGCCTTCATCAAAGTTTAGTTCATGCAGCCTATTCCTTAGCTTGTTCTCATAATCCATTTGTTTCCAAATATCCTGCAACTGTTTTATTTCAATCCTTTCATAAGGATTCATTTTGGCTGAGGCTTTTTCATAAAAGGAATTTTGCAGAACAGCCATTATTTTTGTGGGAACATTTGCTTTATTTTAATGAATAGTTACTAGGAACACAACTATATCCAGTTTATTGGTATGTAGGGGGAGGGTGCATGGTAGGTGGGTCTGGCCCATTGTGTAACATACTTTTCAATACAACTCCCAACTACTGTCTACCGTTTCCGTCAATTGCTCATTATCTTCAAGGAAAACCTCCAAATTCTCTGGACGAGGTTCAAAATGGAGTTACAGAATCGTGTTCCGTTCAAAAATGAAACAGCAGTATTGTGAAGAAATCGAAATGGCTACATTTTGAAAGTTTGTTTCCTGTTGGCTTTAAAAAAAAAATGTTACATACAAAATTTTTAGATAATTTTAGATGTTTAAGATTGAATATAACCATTTTTTGTCTAAATCGCTCTAAAAAGGAAATATTTAGTGTAAATCAAGAAAAGTTCGAAAATTCAATGGTTTTTGTAGCACTGCAGCAAACCCACCCACAAGGCTTTCAGGGGCGAAAACTTAGATTTTTTATATTCACTACATATCTAACGTTATTTATTACACTTAAATTAGCAACAAATTTAAGCAACTGTAAAACATTGATTATTAAACACACACACGTGTGTAAAATAAATATAAAATAATTCAATTTTTTAACAAGTGAAAAAAGCAGTTGGAATATACTCCCAAATAAAATCCCAAACAATGTGAGAAAGATTAAATTGAGGCTTAAAGTCTTAAATGCTTGAAGGCTTAAATTGAGGAGAAATTTAATGGAGGCCAGACCAGAAGGAAAGAGTACGCAAGACTGATGAATACACACAGATTACCTTGGAAGAGTAAGGGGCTACCCCCTGATGGAAATAAATATCACAGATATATGTGGTGAATGACTGCTACAATTGAAGAAGATGGACTGAGGCTAAACCTCCTTGCTTCACGGTAACTCGAAGGTAGAGAAAGAAGATAGTATTATGATGGTTTTAGGCACAGAAACATGTAATGATTGAAAATGTTGAGATTTTTCTCATTTTTAACGAGTAAGAAATAAACTAAACTAAATCATTCTGTGTAATAAGCATTAGGAATGACACAATGTTATCTGAATGTTAATAATTTTCAATCCTGATGTTTCATTTTGAGTCTTAATATATATATATATATATATACATATATATATTTTTTTTTTAGGTTGAAGAAGGAACCAGAACTAATTGTTTAGCTAAACTGAAAGCTTTTCCATCAGTTAAACGAGTTACCCCTCAGCGTTTAGTTATAAGAAATTTAAAATATTTAGAAAATGAAGATCAGCAGAATGTGAACAACCCAAATAGATATAAGAAAAAGGTATGGTGTCCCATTAGTTTTTACTAAATTAGAATCAATTAATTGATTAGATAACATTTAGAAAATAATAAATGATTTTAAAGGAAGGAAATGGTCCGGGGTGGCGGTCATAAATAGGCTGAATAGTGGTAAAACTATTTTATTAAAAGCCAACGTTTCGACCCAACTTTGCAGGTCTTCTTCAGGGCTAGAACAGACGAGATACAAAAAGATAGAGAATTGTGGAAGTTACATAATATTATGACAAAAAATTATAAACAATGTTAATAAGCTTATTAAAATTATAAACAGTAAGTACATTAAAATATAAACAGAGTAAGCTAAGTAACAAGATCCTAAACTGAAGTAAATAGATGGTAACAATTGTTGTAGTGTAATATATAATATATGCAAATGTGAGTATACTTCTACAGATCTGCAGGAGAGATTGAAAGAAAAGAAAAAAGGATATAATATGAAATGATAAACATAAAGGAATGTAGAGAAAAAAAAACAAAAAAAAAAAAATAAATAACATTAGAATAATAAAAATAGAGACTTACAGGTGTGTTCAGCTAGGAGTTTCACTTAGAACTGGAAAATTAGGGTAAAGGCAAGTATTGGGGAATTTGCTGACTTGTTAGGGTAATGGGGAAAAACCTGGAAAATTACATTATCTAAAATTTGAAGATATGGATGGATACAAGGGAAAAAATACTATATCTATGAAATATTAAATTATAAATATATACATACTAAAATAGAATTAAGAGATTATAGATAAGAGTACAATGTGAATAAAAACAAAAATGGAAGAAGTAAAATGTACATAGAAGTAAAAAATAAATATAGAAATAAGAGACCATACATTGCAGAACTAACTTAAAAGTATAGAGAGAGGAAAAAAATATGAATAATTATAATTATATTTGGTAGTACATATGTAAGAAAATTACATTTAAATATTAGATAATATTGAGATATGGTTAAACAGTAAAATGAATACGAAGTGAAAACAAATGATCATACACTGATGTAGAATGTAAATATAAAAAAAAAATTAAATAAAAAAAGAGATCATACAAAGCGGAAATACTTAAAATAATGAACAATTAATCAATAAAAATTGAAAGTAGATAAAAATAATAAGATGTAATATATAAGTTATTTTTCACTTATACGATTTAAAATGTGTCCATATGTTAAAGAAATACAGTTTTATCTACTTTATGATTAACAGGATCTGTTCCATGTGAATGTGGATGGATTCAGAAATGAGTCTTTTTCATGGTTAGGGACCTTGGCAAGGATAGAGGTTTTTTCAAAATCAAATGAGTGGTTGAGGGTTAAGGCATGTTCTGATAGTTTGGAGGCGGAAGGGTTCCGGGAAGTTATGGATGTTTTATGTTGGGAAATGTGGGTTTTGAGATGCTTTTTGGTTTCACCAATATAGGAGCTATTATGATTAGGAGTAGAGCAAGGTATCCGGTAAACTACATTAGATCGGTGTTGTAAAAGTATGGGATCCTTCAAGTTGATGAAAAGGAAAGAAAGTTGGTTATAGTTGATTTAAGGAATTTTTGTATATTTTCTGAGAGCTATATTATTTTAATACAAAAGCCTTAGTCGATTATTTAAGGTAAGACTTTTTTATTAATATGTGGCCCCCAGATCATCCTTCTGTCGTAAGTGAGTCCTAAGTAATGAACTGTGTTGTCTGTTGTATGGGGGCAGTGTTTAGGTAAACTGGTGTACAAGTGTCATGTCGGAGCGTGAAGGTGATGTGCTGAGATTTATCACTGTTGAGTTTAATTTTCCATTTTTTAAACCATTCCTGTAATATTTGTAAATAATTAGGGTCAATGATGCTTGTGTGATGTCAACATGTCTGGTGAGAATAGCAGTGTCATCTGCATAGGTTGCAATTAATGTGTTAGGGTAAATTGGTATATCGTTTGTGTATATAATGTACAGTAATGGTGCAAGAATCGATCCCTGCAGTAGTCCGACCCTTACTAACTGTATGGAAGAGGTTTCTTATCCCTGTCGAACAGAGAAAATCTGTTTGAAAGGAAGGAGAAAAAAACTGAGGTAATACGTAGAAGGAAGAAATGATTTAAGTTTGTTGAGCAGTCCATCGTGCCAGACTGCCAAATGCTTGAGCAACATCCAGAAATACACCGGTAGCGTATAATCTATCTTCTAGTGCAATTGAAATGTAGTCCTTGACTCTGTGAAGTTGGTGTATGATTGAATGTAGTGAACAGAATTACACCCTCATCAGCCACGACCGGGGCAGCCGGACTGGGGGTGGGGTAGCAATATTTATCCATAATAACCTGAAGTCTTGAATCCTTGATTGCTCCCCACCCTCTGAACATCCACAAGTTGAGTACCTACTAGTAGAAATTACTTGTAATAATTCCCCTCTCCTTTACACAGTGATCTATCGTCCTTCCCTTGTTCCATTTGATCCGTCCTTAGAATCAACCCTACTCAACTTTGTTCCCCTTTATCCTAGAATAATCATCGCCGGTGACCTCAATACCAATTTCCTTTCTAATTATAAAGACAAAACCTATCTAGAAAACATATTTTTCTCCCTTCATCTCTTTATTGTTCCTTTTTACCCTACTCACCACACCTTCAAGGCCGACACTTGGTTAGATTTCTTCATTATAGACTCTGAACAAAATCTCCTTTCCTCTTCTCAACTACCAGTATCCTTCTTATCATCTCACTACCTGATCCTAATAACATATATCCAAACTCCTCTGATTCATCCGAGAACCACCACTTTCCGTCAGCTACTCACTCGTGAAAGAATTCTATATGACCTTGAAACCTTAGACTTTAACATAATATATTCCTGCTCATCCATCGACTCCATGGTTAACATCCTGACTTCCAATCTCCTCAGTATCCTTAACACCCATGCTCCCATAAAAACCTCAAACTTCCGTCGCCAGCCTGCACCTTGGATGTGCCAAGAAATTAAGGATCTGCAGAAGAGGCGTGATGCTGCTCGTAGACGCTTTAGACATACCAGGCTTACAGATGACTATCAATAGTTTAGGGTGCTCTGCAACTTGACACAAACAAAGATTCAGCGAACTAAAGCTACCTACTTCCATGAAGCTCTTTCATCTGCTCCGGATCCCAAATCTAAATGGTTAATCCTTCGCAAACTTTCCCACTGTGAATCTTCCAGATCCCCTTCCTCAAGTCTTTCCCGTTTCACCTGATGACTTAAATTCACATTTTATTTCAACCTCCTCTACTTCTTCTCTACCCTCCTCTTCCAACTTTCCTCCTGAGTCATCATTCAAGGATGATGACTTCTATTTCTCCGACATTCCCCCCCCCCTGACCTGCTAGCTAACGGCTGTAATGAAATCCCACACCAATTCCGTAGGACCAGATGGCGTTATGAAATTATGTCTTCCCGAAATCCTCCCAGTTCTCCTTTTCATTTACAATTTCTCCCTACAGAACTCAATATTCCCTACCTCTTGGAAAAGAGCCATTTTCCTCCCTTTTTAATAAAAAGCCTAATCCATCCTCTCCTGAAGATTTTGGTGCTATCCCAAGTTTCCAATTTCTTTGAAATGTCCAACCAACTTGATCCTCTCCAATCTGGTTTCCGTCCCAGCTACTCCACACAATCCGCCCTAATTAAAATTACCAATGATGTTCAGACTGCAATAGATAATAAACAATTGACTGTCCTTATACTCCTTGACTTCTCCAAAGCCTTCGATTCCATTAACCATCCCATCCTTTTCAACAAACTAAAATCATTATTCTTCTCCAATAGCTCCATCTCTTGGCTCCAATCCTTTCTCTCACAACACACACAAGCAGTCTCCATACCTAATCAACCACTATCTGCCTACCTTACTTTATCCTCTATCTCCTCTCCTTTTTAGTTCCTACATTAACGACCTACATAAATCAATTCGCTAATGTTCCCACCACCTTTATTCAGACGATTCCCAAATATATCTATCCTTTTCTTCCTCTGAGCTTTTGGTAGCATTTACTAAGATCCAAGAAGACCTAGATCGAATCAGTGCCTGGGCAAACTTAAACGGATTAAGGTTAAATTCGGCTAAAACTCAGGCCATTGTCATTGGTTCCAAACCCCTTCTTAGATCCTATTCCGACTTTCCCATACTAAACCTTGATGACCATCTAATCTCCTTCTATTCCTCTGTCAAAAATTTAGGATTTTTCATTGATCAAACCCTCTCCTGGAATCACCACATTTCTCACATCTCCTGACGGACAATTTCTACCCTCAAACTATTCCGTCACTTCCGCCATCTCCTACATCAACATACGCGTGGACTCCTGGTTTCCTCTCTCATCTTCCCCCACTTTGACTACAGCTGTGTGGTGTATGATGGATTCTCGGTGGAGCTCCGTATAGACTGAAAAGACTTATGAACAACTGCGTAAGATTTATAATTGGTGCCCCGAGATACTCCCAAGTGTCTCACCACTACACTGAGTTAAAGTGGCTCTTCCCCTCCATTCGAAGACAATATTTCCTAGGTATGTTCCTCTATCAAATCATCAATAATCATCGTCCTTCTTACGCCTACAACCTTCTCCAATTCAAGTCCTCAGTCCACTCCCTTTTCACAAGATCTCGACCTTCCCACCTTTACATCCCTTCTCACAGATCTGCCTCATTCCAAAACACGTTTATTGCTCGCTCTGTTAATTTCTGGAATTCCCTTCCTATCAAAATTCGGCACTCTCCCTCCCTATCTACATTTAAAACCCTCCTATTCCAATTTCTATCCCAAAAACAGTCAGACAACCCCTGCTAACCTTTTATGTAAATTTATATATTATTCGGAATGGTATATGACATATCACATAATGGTATATTTACATATAATTCATGACTTAAATACTTACTATCAGATTCGTCTTCTTTTTATTTTATTTTTTTCTTCAGAAACAGAGTTTATTGCTATGAAGAATGTAATGCTTTTTTTATTTTAAAGTGT